ATAATACATAAGGACCCAAAAAAGACCGCTAGAGACAACCTCACCCTATATTACTGTATTATACTACTATATAATATTTATACTATATTACTATACTACTAGTAACTATACGACTGCATGCGGGTATTCTAGTTTGAGCTTCAAGGCAGAACAGGATGAGTAAATTCGTATCCTGATCATTGCGCACCCATTGAATATGATAGTCAATAATTCAGTGGCCATGAGGTGTGAGAGGGCGTTTGGGCGCCCCTGAAAACTGCGTATATATGATTACTTCAACCGGGAGCTAAAATTGCGCTGGTCACGCACTGTCTATCTCTGCGCTTCACTGGGTGAGCCTGATACCGAAAATGCCTCAGAGTAAAATTACCAGCGTGCTGGGCATAGATAACGAGCCATTCGAATCGTAAATAGTGCAGATAGAGAAGTAGAAGGCGTTGCGATCACCGGAATCATACTTTTTACTTGTCTATCTACACACATACCTGGGATGCGAACATTTGCCTCAATTCGTGTAAAAAGTGTCTTTGATAGTTTGGTCTTTCCTACTCCAAACACAGATGAATAAGGTAAATCAATCTTTTTCTCCTCAGCAGAAAGGTATCTTGCCTTACTAATTTTACCTGTACTATAAGTACAACAAGCCTGCTACACAAAGAAGTACAAACGCACACACCTAATGGTGCTGAAATCAGCAGCCTCCATAATTCGGCCGAAAATACACCACAAGCAGAAAGCGTTATGTCCGTGTCCGCCCGTAAAGCTGGGGCGTACTTCATCCTTAAACGTTTGCTTTTGTCCCTCTGTGGTAATTAAACGTGGAATAACTCATAGCGCATGTGCTTTTACTATCCTCTACAGATTCAATTTTCACAGTCGTTTTTTGTTCCCTTCACGTTTTTAATCATAATTGAGAAGTATTAACGACCTTGCTGAGTTCCTCTGTTTTGCAACTCTGACGATGGCTCCCTCGGTCAAACGAGAATCATGATACTCAGACAATAGCTTCCACGGTCTCTGCCGATGATCGTGGCGGGTTCTTCTGTTTTTTTCCACGTAGTAGGTGGACTCTGCGACACTTCGGTGATGGTCTCGTGACTTCTACTGTCCTTTCTTCGTTTCGGCCCTAAGTATACTGATAATATCCGCGATGAGCTCCCCCTGTCCCACCTCCCTGATGGTTGATCCTGTAGCCAGTCGTACGGTGATACGGGGATGAACACCAGCCCTTGCTGTTATATAATTTCTCTCACGAAAAGGAGCATTTCGAACGCTTACACGTTCTCATCACCAGTACGGTCCTATCTCACTGCATCATGTTAATCCTATCAATCTACCCATCAATCAATTCCCCCTATATTTTTTTGAAAGTCGGGGGCTTGCTGGTTTCCATCCCTGATTTTACCGTAAGATATTTTTTCACTGCTTCTTCCTTACTTCACCATATTTTCCAAAGAATGTTAACTACTGTTTTAAGAAGGACGAATAGTTGTCAGGCGGGAAATACTTCGCTTAGCATACTACTCATTTCTGCTGTTTATCTGGCTGCTCACAAATAGCACCAATTGTCCGTATTGTCACTGTTTTCCCACCGTACTAAGTTTGTTATGACGTGGCCCTCAGGGCGCTACAAATATAAAATGTATAAAAATCAATTTAATGAATTCAGAAATGTATAAGATAACATATAATAGAAATAAAATGTCGATAATGCAGGTAAGCAATAGGTGTTATATATCACATAAAATAATATAATACAAAATATAAAATTTATAATATTATAAATTCATAATTAAATTTTATAAATAAATATTTTCCATGTAGCTCGACAATTGGATCATGGGACAGGGCCTCTACTACGTCGCGGACTTCAGCGAGAGTATTCACGAAGCGTGCACTGACAACGAGAAGTCCACAGGCGGCAGTGCCGGCGCCGATGACGTAGACTTCCGTATGGAGAGTGCCTCCCCGAATGTAGTCAGCAGCACTGAACAGTGCCCAGTTTCACGGAAGCGACGTTTCGAGGTGGTCACCGATGGGGTTCTCATCCTTCGCATGGTCCTCCACCAGAATCTCTCGGCCCCAGTGGCTCGCACGACAGCTCTCTACCCCTACCTCTATCGATTCATTGATCTGAAGAAGCAGTTCCGTATTTTCTACCCCAAACTGCAGTCCTCTCTCT